TATGATTTCGCCAACCAAATTTCAATTTTTGACATACACGACTTCATTACAAATTATTTGCTAGTTGTACTAGCAACACTGACAAATTGCTTGGTGAAGGCATCACTCAGTAGTGTCAGATAGGGATGCAATGTAAATGAATCAATCCACTTGATGAACAATTTAAACTCGATTAGCTTGATTAACACTCAATTAAATTGGTTCAAATTAGTAAATAAACAAGTTTTAAAATGTTAGAACACAAAGATCAAATGAATCAAATTTGAATAAATTCCAACTCGTTTTGTTAATGTTCACAAACATGCTTACTTGTTGTTCAACAAGTAATTTGTTCAATGTTGCGTACTTATATGATATATTATTTAAATAAAATTTAATTAATTATAAATTTAATTATAACATTAAAAAATTTAATATCAATATGCTTCTAAACTTAATGCAATATTTGCTTTTTTCATTTATTTCAATGAATTTGTTTGTTGGTAGTTTTTCATGTTATTTGATTGCAAGAAAGTTTCAACTTATACATTATTTTGTTTACTTGGTATAAACTAGTTAAATGCTAATTTGAAAATTTTTTAAGTTATTATTTATTTAAATTTATAAAATCATTTGTTAGTAACTTTCTATAAAAAATCAAGCACTCTTTATTTGTTAGATTGTTTACTAGTTTTATATGAAAAATTAAGTTCTTAATTTTATATTATAGATTATGCATTCATTTGAATTTTAGCATGTTCAATTAATATAAACAAGTCGAGTACAAATTAAATATGAAGATTAAAAAAGTTAAAAAAATAATAAATAAATAAATAAGCTACACAGAAAACTTGGCTTAAGCTAGAACTTAAAAATAAATAAATAAAAAAGCTACACAGAAAACTTGGCTTAAGCTAGAACTTAAAAAGAACAACATATGATCGATCAAGCCAAGTCTTGCTAAAAGATATTGATGCATCATCAACAAATTTTTATTATCAAACATTGATCTCAGTGCAATTTTTGAGCAAAGAACATTTCATATTCAAATTCAAGATTTTCTAGGACCCCAATTTCAGTAAGTTCATAATTAAGCTCACCATCTCAACATGACGATAATACCAAAATTAGTTCAATCTGAGGCCAATCAAGCCTAAATCTAGCCATTAAAATATCGTTGAATTCTAAATTTGACTTATTTATATTCAAATCATGCGTCTCAATAAGAGGAATTCAATGAGCCTAAGATTGCTCAATTCTAAGGTAATTAAGACTATTAAATCACCAAAATGTTATCAATGATCAAGGATGATCAATATGGACAGTCGCATCAGGGGGGTGGGGAAGTTATTTGCAAAATAACTAAAATTTCATTCCCCTA